TGGAAAAGGAACAAGAGTAAGAAAAAATGACAGACGAAAAATTGAACGTAGGATTAGAGTGGCTGTTTTAAAGATCGCTTGCTATTGCTTTTTGTTGTTGTTATTATTTAGCTTTGTTTTACATTTGGAAATTTGTGAAATTTTGCTACCACTATTGTCGCTGATCGTCGCTGTCTGCCAGAACACTTCAGGTGTTGTTACATCTATGGCAACTACATTTACTGCACACAGTGGTGGTGCTACGTTTTACCATGAAGATAACGATGACAGTAATAATAATGGAAGCAAAAATTAAACAAGTATTTGTGATGATAGTTGGAATGAAAGAAAAGAATAGAGGGGAAGGGAACTACACTTACCATTTGTTATTACCAAATTACGAGGTTTGTTGGCTGTCGTTAGTTCGTAAATTCAATACGGAATATTTTAAGCACACCCAAACAGTGATATCACCGACAATAATAACAAGAAGTAAGAAGAAAAACAAAAAGAAAAAAGAACAAAAATTTTCCTTAATTTGTTCTTTTTTGATTCAATTGCTTTCTTGCTGTTTGTTCAATTATTTCGACCAAATAGCAGATATTCTTGAAAAAACTAATTTTGTGCACTTTTCTATTTTATTTCTTTTCTGTAATATCAAATGGTTCTTTATATTTTTTCTTTTTATTCAGGTTTAATGAACTACCAAAATACTCACTTCCATTAACACCTCGTTATTTGCGGTTGTTATTCTTGACCTTTTTAATATTTTCGTTGATCAACGGCAATAAATGGGGTCTATTTGGAGTAGGATAAAAGTAGTGGTCTTTGAGACAGCATGACAATGTTTTTATCTATACAAAATTACCACTGAGAGCTGTTGTCAACTGATTTGTAGGGGAAAATCTGTTGAAATTGTCGAATTAAAAGGTAGGGGAAAAAAAGAGGTTTGCTTGTAGCGGAGGTGATAATGAGAAGTACTAAGAGGATTAGTAGTTGGCAGTATTGTTGCGGTTTGTTTGGATACAAGCAGAAACTAAATAAAACAAATAAAAAATAACTCTGAGTTTAATAACTTTGTTTGTGTGGACCGTCAGTTGATTATCGGTTGAGAAGGTTTTCAGTTACATGTCATTGTCGTCATCATTTTTTCAATCAACTTTCTGTCTAATTTTTTTTCTTTTTTGTTTTTTGAATTTTTTTCTGTTTTGATTATAATCAGTTGTTCTTTATAATCACTTTCGTTGTTTTTGTTGTTCTCGCTGTTTAGTTTCGGGATTTGCATTGATTTTATTTGTACAAAATGACATTTCCTTTTGCCTTCTTGAAAATCTGCAAATTTCATCAGCCATATATAAAAGGCACGCTTGACCGAATCGATGATCTTAGACTAAACTTAATCTTTCATTCTTTTCATTTTTTTTACAAGTACATTTTTGTTATGCGTGTTACCAAAAAAGGAGCCGATGAGCATTAAAGAAACATCAGTTGTAGCACTTTTAAAAATGAATAGCATTTGCAAAAAAAAAAAAACCAATTTCTTTTTTACTTCAAAAAATTTTTTTTCTTATTTACCTGTCTGTCTTTTCTCTTTTTTTTTTTAAATTCAAATGAGTTTTATTGTTTCTGGAATAGTCCATTTCTGCTTTAAGTTCATTGTCAGTATGTTGATGATTCTGCTTCATTTTTGCTTCAGATACAGAAGGCTAGCAAAAAGGTTTGAGAATAGTTGATTACAGAACAAACTGAGAAGTTAAATTTTTGGTTTAGGGGTCGTTTAGAGGTCGCATATGTAATAAAGCCGTAGAAAGAAAATATGGGTACTTTTTGGGTGAAAAGGTCGTTGAATAGAACTGTTTTTTTAGGCATTAAAATGCCTCTGATTTATTGCTTAACGGTTCACCACTGATTCATTGTATCAGAAGTAGCAACGATAAATACTATCGTTTTTCGCTAAAAGGTAATTGACGTAAAAGAACTGATGAATGAAGAAATTGTCACTTTGTTCAAAAATTCTTAAGGGTATATACATCTTTTTTGTATCTTTCTCATCCATTTATCTGCATTTAGAATTTAGAGAGGAACTATAATTTATCATGAACAATATCACAAGTTAGTTTTTAACAGAGCATAACCACAGTCAATTATATTTACTGCTATGGTAAACACTGTTAAAAAGCATTAACAGCAGACGATTTTGCACACTTATTCCAAACGTTTCAGATACAATGTTTGTGCTAAAACAAACTGTGAACAAGGATTTTGTTAGCATATTGGTGTAGTTCCAGATACCCTACCTAAAAAGAGCTTAACTTGTTAGATTTGGATGCTTCTTTTTTTTTTCTTTAAAGCTTATCTTCAGACTGACATTTTTTTTCTTTTTTTTTTTGTTTTCTATCTTGTTTTTTAGACAGTACAGAGTTTTGGAGGAGAATTAGAAGAAAAAAAAATAAAGAAAACCTCAGTATTTGGATGTTATTTTCAAACAACTTCAGTGTTCAGTGATTGTATAAAGAAATGGCTGATTACTTTTGCTGTAGATTTACAAGACAATTAAAATAACAGTAAAGCTGAAACAAGTTTGAGAACAAGTTGGTGAAAACAGCCGAACATAGTCCATAAAGACGCCATGAGAATTTTGACGTTCTTTTCTTTTTTTTTTTTTCCTTCTTTTTTTCGTTGCCTTCTTTGTTTATTTTTCTATCATTCTAGTCATTGTCATAATATACAGCACTCAAACAGTAACATAAACTATTTACACCTGAAATTATTTAGGCGCAGGAAGACGCCACATTAATGCAGAACAGTTGTGAGAAAGAAAGTAAGGTGCTTAAAAATATTCGAAAGTATGAATCGTCAACGTTGGCCAAAAGTATTTTTCGACCATCGCATGAAATTCATCCAACACAGAAATCGTTCTCCAGTTCTGCAATACAATCACAAATTTCCAATCTGTTGCCGAACAACGGAGGAGGTAATAATGTAGGGACAAATGATGAACAGAATACGTCATCACCAGCAACACTGGAACTTGGTAGTTCCTGCTACAAAACACCGTTGCTGACCAATTCACCGCTGACAGCTGTTAATAACGATACAGCTACATCTGAAAGTCCAACTGGACCACAGCTTGCGGCGACTGCTGAATTCAAAGATACGTTGACAAACCGTATCAGCAAAGGATTCATTGAACTAACGCAGGGCAGTAGCGACCGGTTACAGCGTTGGAAGTCAAAACTTCAAAGTGGAAAGCGTCACAAAGAGTTGATTAACGGATCCAGTGCTACTTCGCAGGGGTATGCTTTTAGTTTCACTTTTTCATCTCGTTTTCTTCAGTCTGATTTTTTTAGGAGTTGAGCATTTTTTTGGTGCATAGCTCGATTGTTGCATTGACGATGAGATTCTCAAATTAAAATTTTATCGCATAGTGAGTGTAAGAAAGTGAGCTTTTGGTGCTACTAAGCAGTCAAAACTTTTTTTGTAATCTATGTAGCAGTGATTAATCGTTGTTAAGAACGGAGTCCTTTTACTCTTCCTTCTGTTTTACATCTGTTGCAGCCCTAAGCGCCGATCACTGAAGAAGTCTTAAGAATATTCACATATTATAATTTAAGCTTAGGTTTTTTAACACCGGAGAAGCAGTGAGTGTGTATTTCACTTAGTGCACCCACACTGCAATTTTAGTAGCAATAGCAACAACAAAAAGAAAATCATTTTTGCAAAAATTTTTTAAACCAACTTTTTTTATTCTTTTCTTCCTTTTGTTAAAATTTAAAGTTGTAGAAGCAACTGTTTTACAACTTTAAATTAACGAGATTGGATTCTTATTCTGTA